TTTCGAACTACACCAATAATGAGTGTCATAATTAGTCAATTCAGCGACAAAAGTGTTATAATGCATGACAATATGTATGGTTGTGTGTATATGTATACATACATACATACATACATACATACATACATACATACATACATACATGCATATACATACATACATACATACATCATTCATGTGAAAAGCCAACATAATCAAATTACATTTTCATAAAATTTATGAATAAATGTATAACTAAACTATTTTTATTTTTCGCAGACGTTAGTATTCATATTTTATCGCAATTTTTATGTTTCCCTTGCTTTCTTTTGTAGCTTGATATTTATCATCAACAATATATATTCATATATTCATAAATTTCTATATCATTTATATTTATTAGATAATGTTTATTTCTCTTCTTATTAACCTAGTTTAACGGTATTATTTTACTTTCCTCTCCTTGTCAATTCTTATTTTATTACACTTTGTTATTTCGTTATACCTCACAGTTTGCAAGTGATTCAACGATGGAACGTAAGAACGAATTATTTTAATAAATCGTAACTACGAATCAAGACTAATATCATGTATTTTATTTTTACTTGATTTAATAATAATCAGGACGAATACGTAGTTTTCATTCTCACTTCCATCCATCGATCGCCCCGTGTACGTTCATGTATATTTTATTTATTTATTTATTTATTTATTTATTTATTTATTTATTTATTTATTTATTTATTTATTTATTTATTTATTTATTTATTTATTTATTTATTTATTTATTTATTTATTTATTTATTTATTTATTTCTTCCACCTTCTCTCACTCTTTCTTGACTTTTTCATTTTTTCTTATATATGTCAATAATGTTATGATATTTATAAATATACAAGTCATTTTTTTAATTAAAGATTTCTGTGTCGGTATATTGAGCTACTTCTTTAATTGTACTTAAATAAAGCGATTATAACGAAAGTCAAATATATATTTCTATTTTTAATGCTATTTTTTAAGAATAATTATTTATTTGTGTTGTGGTTATCGTTTGGATCTTGCATTACATTAAATACCATTTACTAACGTTCTTAACGGTTATATCCCACAATATTTTTATTTTGTGTATAAGTATATGTGTATGCTTTTAAATTAATTATGTACCTATTAACGATTTTTGAAATGTACTTTTTATCACCCTAAATTTGTAATATATCTAGCTAAATATGTATTTGTGTTATGAGTTCCATTAAGCCTACGATGACCGAACAGTGATTTAATAAGCGAGCACATTGGTTTTCAAAAGCTGCTATTATTTAATTTTTGTTAACCAATAGTAAAGACAAAGCTCAATTATTCCGTGCTCCGTTACAATATAATCATACGAAATATTATGTAAGTAGTGGAACACGTGAAAGTGAAAGATTCGTACTAGAAAAAGTACCCTTGATTTTTTTCTCTCGTTTGCCGATTTATAAAAATTATTAGTTCTGTAGATTAAAAATAAAAGAAAAAATGAATATACGAAGAAATCTGAAACTAACAACATGGATTCGATTAACATTGCAACGAACAAAAATTGATTGGATTATATGATCATTTCCGAATAACAAGAAAAAATGAAGAATTTCTTCTTCACCTTTCATAGACTATATATACGCAGGTATATATATATATATATATATATATATATATATATAATTAAAATATGACGCTTTTTAATTCGTTTGGTCAAAAAGATTTGTTTCTTTTCGAACAAAATTGAGTGTCCTTCGCAGTGACTGTTATTTATTTATTTCTCTGTTTCGCAGATTCCTTATTATAATCCTACATTCGTACATGCGAACATTTTTCGTGAAATGTACGCTTCATGTACTTATTAAGAGGAGAAAAATGAACATTACTTTTTTTTACCATTTTTTATTATTTTTTTTTTTAATTTTTTTGTTTTGTTTATTTATTTTTTTTTTTATACTGTTTTTAATATACGCTAAGCATACATGACACTTTGAGCTCTCCGTAACGCGAATTTGATTGTTCGATGCCAAAGAGAGAAACGAATCATCAGACGTGTTTGGAAATTAATACAATCGATATCTGTCCAATTTACAGGCAGATCGAAGAGTAAAAACAGTTCATCATTTAGGGAAATGGAACTGGATGAATAACAATCGCGATAAAACTTTGGAGATAATCCAACTAAGAAGCTAGGCGAAGATAATACAATGTTATGATAGGGGAGGCAGGGTATAAAATAGTAACGACGGAATGATTAGTTCTTTGAGACCGGACCAGCCAGCCCCTCAATAGAGCATAAAAACAATAATATAATAAACTTTGTAAACAAAGTGCTTTCGATCTGCGTGTTAACGAGTATCTTTGGTATAAACGAACAGTTACTTCTTCGCTGTTATTAGGGAAAAAAAAGTCCGTGATTGGTAACGTTATGGTTTGTTTATAACATAATTTTATGCGTTCGGTCTGAGCGTTTCACGTCTCGATGAACAGTCAAATACGATTACTTTAGCCAAGGCCTTACCAACAAATAAACTCTATCAAGGTACTGTATGCGAATACCTTTAAGCTCTCCTTATTATCGTCTCGACAATTTTATTTATTCATAAATCTTTTTCATCGTTTAAACGTAAATATACAAATTCCTGTTGCGCGTATCCTCTGAGGAACTCGGTGGTGATAATAATGAAAGACGAGAATCGTCTACAGTACTGCTCTATCGCTTTTTTTTCTCTATAAATTTATTATAATAATTCAGTTTGTCTTCGGGAGGTGTACACATGACTCGATGGACGGAAAATTCATTCCGCATTTCATATAGGAAAAGGAAAAAGAAAAATAAAAAATAAAAAAAAAAAATGGGAAGAAAAAAAATAAGCTTAAAAAGTTAATCGCGTTAAATCGAATTATGAAGGCGCTCGTTACTCGAGAGTTTTTCATAATTAACATTTTTCATTAAATGACAAATTTTATAACGGGAATTTAATCGCTTTGCTAATTCGATTTAACCGTACAAATCTTAAATTCTTCTTTAAATATTTAGGAAAGAATTATCAGTCCCTTGAGCAGTGTATATCGAAACCTCCTATCAACGCCCTCGACAGTTTTACTGCATCATCTTTGAATAAACCTACGTAACTTTTCTTTATTCCGTACAACTACACACACATATATATATATATATATATATATATATATATATCTTCTAAAAATGTGGCTCCAATATTTTAATGAACAAATGTGTATATTTTCTCTCACATAAATGTGTATATACATACAAATGATGTACACACTCGCACGCACGCATGTACGCACGCACGCACACGCTCATACAAACACGCACGCACGCACGCACGCACGCACACGTACATGAGCGTATGTATGCGTATATGCCATGCCTACGAGAGTCCGCCGAGCGCGCGCTTTGATGCGTATTGCGTACACCCGCATACACGAACACGTGGTCGCACATACGCGCGCGTATATATACAAATATATGCGTGTGTTATGTGCTATCAAGTGTACGTCCTATTTCATGTATATGTGATAAAGCCCCGTAACGTGGTGTATCACAGAACAATTGTAGTAGTTTATATTTCTTCTCTATATAATATGTAATATTTATATAAGAATTCTTAAAAAGTATAATCAATCGTTTAACGAGCCGTGATGGATGAAAATGAATGGTGATGTAGATAGTAGTAGTAGTAGTAGTAGTAGTAGTAGTAGTAGTAGTAGTAGTAGTAAGTAGTAGTAGTAGTAATAGTAGTAGTAGTGGCGGTTGTAGTAGTAGCAGTAGCAGTAGTAGTAGTAGTAGTAGTAGTAGTAGTAGTAGTAGTAGTAGTGGTGGTGGTGGTAGTAGTAGTGGTAGTAGTAGTAGTAGTAGTAGCAATGCAGGCGCTATAGTGATGCTGCGATAAGGTGACAACGGGTGTCGGGATTTTTGTTTATGTTTTTATATCGTTTCTCTTGCTTTCGAGAAATTCAAGCGGATAACGGGTATTATATGCGGACGTAGATAAGTGCGTGATGCACTGCGAAACAAAACAATAAAAAAATAAAATAAAATAAAATAAAAACACAAAAATTGATCAGATTCGAATGAATATTGGCATGGACATTGTCACGATAAAGGGCGATCAATGAAAGGAGATGCCCCGCAAATGTTCATATACGTATCGATTCAGCATACAATTGCTCATCTTTAAATCAAACAAACAATCGGTCGGAGAGGCGTTGCGCGCTCCTTAAAAACCAAGTCCAAGTCGCAAATTCATTTGAATTGGATAATTTATCGCGCAGTGTGGTGATGGTGATGTGTGTTTATTCTCCCGAGACAGTCGCCGAGAATAAAGCGCGTGAAAATGAAATAGCTTCAATCCCATATTGTAAAGCTTGCTTTAATATGCGTATTTATACGTAATGCAATTCGTATAGCGGGAGGGGAGGGCCGATAATAACGAAGCTACATGAATACGGTGGTGTGTCCGCATCTGTTCGTTCGTGTGCCTGTACGTGGATGGGAGGTGTTTGGGTTGCGCGTGTTAGTGTGTGAACGCGGGCGGTCGCGCGCGCTCATCCGTGTACGTATACGTGCGTCGGCGCGCGCGCGCGTTGTGTATCTATCGTTGCGGTGACATGTGAAGGAGGAGTTTCAACAAATAACGAGGCTGGCCGCTCATTCGAATGGTACATGCGCGTACAACTGATCAACTGGTCGCGCCTCAACGGCATTGCGTACTCAATTCGTCTCCCGATATGTAATTAATAATGTTTAATATTGTCGGGATGGTGGTCGCAGCGAGCCGCGCGTCAACGTGGGCCCAAGGGCCCGAGGTACCGTCCGCCCGCCCGTCACCCCCCACCCCCCTCCTCCCATCCACCCACCCA